TAATATTTTTTAAAATTTTAAAATATTATGAAATGACAATGCGGTCCTCATTTCCGTTGACTACTTTTATATAGTTATTGACAATTTTAATTTAACTATTGACTATTTTTATTTTTAAAGTCCTGGTGACTACTTTTATGTAATTATTAACTACAAAAGAGTAGTAAATAACTAAACAAAAAGTGGTCACTAGATTTCTAGTAATATTTAATGTATTTTTTGAGTTTTTGAAACAAAAGTAGTTAATAGCGAAACTAGAGTCAATAGCTAGACAAGAATAGTTACCACATTTTTAAAAATATATAAAAGTAGTCAACTGCAATGCTAGAATAATCAATAGCTAAATCAGAATAGTTATCGGAGTTCTAAAAACAAATGTAGTCATTAGCTCAAAAAAGAAAGTCAAAACATAAAAAAGAGTATCAATGGGACTCTAGCGGCTAGCCACCGACAAGGTCACCAATGTCAAAGCTCCTGCGGCAGAAAACCAACTAAAAGTGCTACGGTGGCAATATTTAAGAAAAAATGGTGAAGGACATATGTGTAATTTTGTAAGATTTGAAAATTTCAAAATGATAGAAGGGATCTGAATTGGGATTTTGAAATTTGAGCACACCGATTTATCCTTTAACAAATTCTAGGGTGTTTTATTGCTTTTTTTCCTATTTTATAAGGCATCACTGCTTTCTTTAACCTTATTTGATCCGAAAAAGGATCTTCGAAGACCAATGAAAGTTGAAGCTTTAAATTGCATAAAATTCTCGGGTGTATATAATTTTTCTTAATGACTTTTAATTAAAATTTAATAGTAAGGAATCTCCAAACTTTCAAGAATATACATGTAATCCCAAACTATTAATTTTATATTTCTTAAATGTTATTTCTGTATGAATATAATCTTCTCAAATTTTGAGTTATGTTTAGATAATTTTCTTAAAATTTAAGTCACTATTAACAAATAAATAATGAACATAAACTAACACTACCCGAGTTATCCGCATAATTGTTAAATTGAGACATGTTTATGATAAGGTTTCAAAAGTTAATCAGATTATTCACATATGACATAAAGTTTCAGAAAATTTTGTATAATCTAACCTTATTTGTAAATACATTTTTGAAAAAATTATATTGAAGGTATCTATACTTTCTTTTAATTTTTAATTTAGTATCTATGTGTTTTTTTTAATTAAATCATTTAAATTTTTTTTAGCAACATTAGCTCTTATAACTTTGTTCTATTGACATTTTTAGTCTATATGGAAGAGTTAAAGATATTAATAAGGCAAAATTAAATATTTAATTAAAAAACACATAGGTACGAGATTAAAAATTAAAAAAATATAGGTATCTTCAATATAGGTTTCCTCTCTATATTAACAATTTTTATAACAATTAGGGAAAACGCGTAACGGATGTTGACTGGACAAATTTTGCTAAGAGAGAATGCGTAGAGTCTATACCCAGACATCATCAACCCTATAATAAAGTTCTAAACTCAAGCACTTTTTTTTATAAAAAAAATCTATATTTTTTTTTAAAAAAAAAGTTAAAAGTAGTATTAAGGGACAAGATATGATAATAAAAAATCTTTAAAAGTAATTAATTAAATTTAAGTTGTTGACCAGGCTGAGAAGGGGTGACTGTGGGAGACAAACACCCAGCCACAGGTTTGAAAGTTGGTAGATGATTTTCACAATCATTAGTTTCTGGACTCTAACGGTCACAGTGAGATAATACGGTTGCTGTTTGAGCAGCCAGGAGTCTTGTTGTGTGACGTTGAATCGTTACCATCACCGTGCAATCAAATCATATCCATCGAGTCTCCAATTACCTACTTAATACTACCATATATTCTTAATATAAACTAGATAATTAATTTAAAAAAATTAAAAAAATTAGTTAAATTAATTATTAGTTATAAATAGGTATTGTCTTTTCTAAAATGTCTTTACTAATCATTTATATTAGCTAGAATTACTATTTGATGAAACTTTTAATATGTGTAACTATTACAAAGACTATTTTAAAAAAAATATGAAAAAAATATGAAAATATTATATTTAGGACCTAATTAAAAGTTAAATAAGCTTTTACTCTTCCGGTCCTAAATATAAAATTTATTTTGTAGTGTAAATAGGCCTTATATTTAGGATCAAAGTATAATAAGAAATATAGGTACTCTTATGTTTAGGACCGGAGGACTAGTAATTAATATAGGACATGGGATTAAAAAAACACAACGTAGGATCCCAGAGGAAGGAAAGTGAGCGAACACATGGTGCAGATTATGAGCAGGCATGTCGTCTCCTTGCCTTGCTCTACAAGTGCTAATATCTGGGCCTTGAGGTCCATTTCTGTATCTCGTAAGTCTCCAGCCTGTATAGATATTCATGTATCACCAGCCCATCGAGTTTGGTTAAGAGTCCTATGAATTTCATTGCGTAGCTGAAGAAGAAAGACATATTTCAAAACCAACAAAAACAAAGATGTTTATATGACATTTGTAATAAATAATCACATGCATTAGTTTGTGGCTGAGCACACATCATGTGCTTCCTGTGAGATATATTCATTTGATTATGTTTGATGCTAAATTTTTCACTCTTGATTTTGCAGGAGCTATTTGGCAGCCTTGTATTCTTGCGGAGTAAGTGGTCAGTTGATTTGTAATCCACTTTGACATAACACCCTTTAACCTTACGTAGATCTGGTCTTCTGGCTCATGTTTTAATTTAGTTCTTTCAACTTTAATTTGTTTTATATCTTATTCAAGCTATACTTATTCATAGAAGAGGGAAAGAAACTGCCATCTTTGAAGGAATTTGTTCATAATCTCTCAATGACAACAGTTTAAGAAATTGAAACAAAAAATATTATTTATATTAAAATAAAATTTCACAAAAAATTAAAATATGTAAAAAAAATTAATATCTGTATTTTCCATATTAAGATATTTCCACTTAAATTTATAGAATTTTCAACATACATGGGCCTAGCTTTTTAACTTGGCTTGGGTGTACAAATTGCAACCCATTCGAAAATGAACCAAGTTTAGCCCAACCCACTTAACTTGTGGATTGGCCTTTTCTAATTTGTATTTTTTAATCAAATATGGAGGTCATGATATTCAAATATATTGTTATTTATCCGCGTTAAATTTTATTTATATATAATTATTACTTTAATGATTTTCGTCTTTATTTTATTATTACTTTGTAGATAATATATTCATATTTTGTCATCTATGCTACATTATTTATTTAATTTTACTGGATTTGGATACAGTTAATTGCATTTTTCAAATTTGCATGAACTTGTTGAAAAATTATGGCGGGTTGACCGGTCTAACCTTTAAATTCATTTAAGGATTCAGGTTCACTCAATACTCTAAAGTATTCTTTTTAAGTGCATCCAACACTTTGAAATATTTTTTAAATACGTCCAATATCCTAAAATATCTTTTTAATGCATTTTAAGGCAAAAGAATACTTTCAAAGCACTTGAAAACTACTTTAGAATGCTAGATACATTACAAAATACTTTCGGATACTGGATATACACTAGAAAAAAATAGTTCAAGATGCTGGATATGCCGGAGGGCAGTAAGGGGGATTTTTATAATTTTTTTTAAAAAAAACCAAAATCTCTATTTAATCATGTATGAAGAGGAGAATTTTACTTATTTTGAGGTCATAATTTGAAAATTTTAAATTCAACAATCATTTTTCATGCCATTTTCCCGTTTATCCGTTTATATTGTTGACGTGAAAAATATGTAGAATTAAGAAAACTACCTCGAGGCTTCTGCTTTTTTCAATTTAAAAAACAAAGAGCTTTTTCGTGCTTAATTATTTCTGATATGAAGGAGAAAAATATTCGTTTTCCTTTTTCTATCCAGAGGAAACGATATCTATTACTACTTTCACTCCTAAATATAAAAACTAATTAACTAATTTAAATAAATTAAGAAAATAAATTAAGTTAGTTACTTATAATAAACATGTTGTTTTTCTTAAAATATCCTTACCAATCAAATTTATGAACTAGAATTATTATTATTAGAAGTACTATCTTGAAAAAATTGAATAAATATAAGAAAAAAATAAATTGAAGTCTTATATTTAAAACTAAAATAAAAATCAAATGAGTTTTATATCTACCGGTAGCACTTCATTCCACTTTATATCCTTGTAAAAATATGTATTCCTCTAGTCTTAAATATAAGATCCCTTTTATAGTGTAAAATTACACTAAAAAAAGTATCCCATATTTAGAACCAGAGGTATATAATGCATCAAGCGAAACTAAGACCCGGATGTTATTTCTCTCTTTAGAGTCGATATAGGAACTTTCGGCCAAGTCAGTAATCCCTTGGAAGCATGCCATTGCGCAAGCCGTAAGAAGCAAGAACTCATTTTTAAGGGCGCGCGATTTGCCTAGTCATGAGTGATCCCCCCCCCCCCCCCAAAAAAAACAAAAAAAAGTCGATAAGAATTTAATAATATCCTGGCCATGATGATTTTTTTTTAAAACTTATTTGCGCTCTTCATTTAATTAAAATCATCTTAAACTTTTACTGAATTTAAAAATAAAAAAATATCATAACAATGGTGATAATAAACAATAAACAACAAAGGAAATTTCCTTTCAGTGATTCAAAATCATTTTATACAACAACTGAATACAATTGCATAATAATAATCGATTTGTTCCTACAAAATTTTTTCGTAAAGGGAGACAGGAGAGGCTTAAAAAATAAATTAAAACAACCTCATCCTCCTTCACTTCCTCAGTAGGTCACTAAAAAAACAGACTTTAGGCGACGACTTTCGGCGGCGACAAAAAAAGTCGCCGCTGAAACTAAGACTTTCAGCGGCGACTTTTTTAGTCGCCGCTGAAAGTTCGCCATTGAAACCAAGACTTTCAGCGGCGACAAAAGTGTCGCCGCTGAAAGTGGATTTTTTTGTAGTGGGTTTAGACGCAAAAATGGACCCGCCTCCTTTCAATTCTAAACGATATCAATTAACGTCTAAACAATAGCAAAACATCACCAAATAAAAGCCGGGGATTCCAGCTTATAAGGTTGCAACTAGTCACCATCCATGGCCACCAAACGCACATACTTCTTCTCAACTGCAAATCTGGAACTCGAATTGATCTGTCACCATACGAAATTTCATAAGAAACACATGTAATTGGGAAGAGATAAATGAACATAAATACAATCGAATGGGCCAACCTTATGCTCAAGTGCCTCACTAAGTTCAGTTTCATCAACTTCAACGCCAGATTCCTGCAAGGCTTTCAAGACATGTTTTCTCAACTTCTTCATCTTCAATTTTCCGTCAGGATGCTGCTTCCCAGGAAAAAGAAAGCACATGTAAGTGCACAAACAGGCGTACAAAACATAGGCAAACTAAATTAGCTAAAATTTACCCCTCACTCGGAAAAGGCATATTTAAAGGAAATTCATCGGAGAGGACAGAAGGTCCATGCATACAATCTCAAGCTCACTATGAGGATAAGAACTGCGCATCGTCCAAAATAAAACACAAAATAAGCACACATATCACTCTGAATCCACAGATACTTACAGATTTCAACGCTGATTTGATAAACTTCTTCCACTTTTTGTTCTTCTTGTCATTAACCATCGTTTCTTTCTTCAAACGATCTTCTTTTCTCCCAGCCTCTGCTCCTTCAGCCTGAACTACTTCCCCATTTCCCAACTCACCTGAATTGTCATCCCTGCCCTTTTTCCTGTTAGGGTCATCCTCCGCCACATCAGATTTCATCTTTTTATTTGATTGAGAGATTTCATTCCCCGATTTCAAGTTATTGTGTTCAGATGGATCTTGCAATTTTGTCTGCTGTCCATTATTTTTGAGTTGGACCTTATCATTGGAAGCTTGCTCCACTGGAAGCTTTGCATCCGGAGAAGATGCGTCCATCTGAGTTGGTTGTTGCTTTGCAGCATGGAATGCCCGAGCTTTTGCCCTGTGTTTCTTTCCATCGGCATGGAGAAGAAGTGTTTGCTTACTCGTAGCTCTTGTGTTGCAGAGGCTGAAAAGCAACATGTTTTGAAGGGCTGGGCAAGTTTTGCCGAATTTTACAAACACATGATGAGATTTACAACTTTTATAGTGAGATTTAGTACTTGATCAATAGGTTTTACAACCTGTTTTGAGGGGTTGGGCAACTTCTCTATAAAAAAAAATAATATAATTCCACGCTGAATTTTACAAAAACATATAGTGGGATTTATAACTTTCATAGTGAGAGTCACTACTTTTTTAATGGGTTTTGCAACATGTTTTGAGATCAAAAATCAAAATTTCATATTGATACCTAATGCCTTATTTGTCATTTTGTTTATTCGGATGCCTTATTTGTCATTTTGAAATTCAGAAGGTATTTTATTATCATTTTCTCCTTAATTAATCAGGAGCAGTAATTAAGTACCTGCTTTGCCACAAAATCCATAACCTCGATCAGAGGCACTAATATTGGTAGTTCACTATTTTTTTCTTGTTTGTAGTGATACAGACAAGAGAAGGTGAGCTTTCCAAGCTACAATTCTACTTTTAATCTTGTAGAAAGAACATGGTTGCAGATGTGAGATTTATTCCTGCCAAAATATCTAAAGTATCCAAATATTTTCGTAGCTAGTCGAGCAGAAAAACAAACTTGCATGAAGCTTGACAACTGAATTTTCAGATCGTGAGGAATATTTGGGCTAAAAATTGATGAAGATTTAGTATGATTTAATTCTTTTCCCGACCAAAAACAATACAAATCCAGGGCTTGTTTAATCGCCTCACAGCAAGATTGCGTAGCCTCAAAGTATATGATTTAGTGTTGCATACATTTTTTTATTATTCTAACTTCAAATTGCATAAAATTCTCGGGTGTATATAATTTTTCTTAATAACTTGTAATTAGAATTTAATGGAATCTCCAAACTTCGAAGAATATGCATGTAATCCCAAACTATGAAGTTTATATTTCTTAGATGTTATTTCTGCATGACTATAATCTTCTCAAATTTTGAGTTATGTTTAGATATTTTTTTTTAAATTTAAGTCACTATTAGCAAATAAATAATGATATTGTTAAATTGAGACATGATTATGATAAAGTTTCAAAAGTTAATCAGATGATTGACATATGACATAAATTTTAAGAAAATTTTGTATAATTTTACCTTATTTTTAAATAAATTTTTGAAAAAAAAAACCATATTGAAGGTACCTATACTTTCTCTTAATTTTTAAGTTGGTATCTATGTTTTTTTCCTTAATTAAATCATTTAATTTTTTTTTTTTAGTAACATGAGCTCTTATAACTTTGTTCTATTAGTATTTTTAGTCTCTATGTAAGAGTTAAAGATGTTAATAAGGCAAAATTAAATATTTAATTAAGAGAAAAAATACATAGGTACCAAATTAAAAAATAAAAAAATATAGGTACCCCAAAATAGTTTTTTCTTTTCTATGTTAACAATTTTTTGTAGCAGTCAGAGAAAACGTGTAACGGATGCTGACTAGACAAATTTTGCTGAGAGAGAACACATAAAATCTATTCTCAGACATCGTAAAATCTGTAGGTCCTGGGCGGTTGTCGGGGTTTTTCCAACTTTCAAATAGGGGTGAGCAACAAACCCATTACCCGCTAGCCCGTCCATGACCCATGAAATTTTTGTCCATTTAAGCCCGCCCAATTAGCCCAAATAAGAGATTATAAACGGGCGGGCTTAAATGGACAGGGTAGCCCATTAAACGGGTTGGGCTATGGGCAAGGTATTGGGCTGCCTATACCCGCCCGTTTAAGTTTTAATTTTTTAAAAATATTTTTATTCTTCGTTTAATTGATGATATTGTTTCTCATTCATCTTTTATCAAACCTTTATGCTTGTCTAAGCTTTTATTTTATCTTTTAGGTGAAAGTTAGAACTTTCAAAGTTTATGAGACTTTATGATTGGTGACTACTTTTATGATTTTATCAGACTTTGATTGTTTGCGAATCTAAGTGAGGTTGTGTGATTGAATATGATTGATGTTATTTCATATTTGATTTGCTATTTGGCATGCAAAATTTATTGACAGCTTCATAAGGTTACATATACAAAATAACTATACTGAAAAAAATTTAAAAAAAATAAATGGGTTACCCCGTAACCCGGTTAGCCCAAACGGGCTGCCCCATAACCCATTTAATACGGGTTAAATGGACTACTACCAGGTTATGGGTTAACCCATACCCATTTATGAATAAATGGGCGGGTTATAGGCTAATCTTCAAGTTAGTCCACCCCGCACATTGCTCAGCCCTACTTTCAAACACGAAGACGCCTTGACTAATGGCTATAGGTCTCTTCATCCTTGCTTGCTGCCTCGGAAAGATTCTCATGCCATGAAAAGGGTGGGCCCATCTCTCTCGCAACGTAATGAATAGGCAATAAATGCGTGAATTATATGATTAAAAAAAAATGAGGATTTCATGTAAGTTAAGAAATGCAGTTAAGATCAATCACTATACCTTAATTTTTTTAAAAAAAATATCTTTTTTGACCAAGTCTGTGCATCAATTTTTATTAATTATGTTCTAATTTCTAAACAAATTTAAATAATCATCGTTACATTTTTCCCTCTGAAACAGGCGGTAAAGGAAAATATTAGTTTTCTTTAAATATGCTGCCTTCTGTGTTTAATATAAGAACTAGTTTGATATTTAATTTGGTCCTAAATACAAGGTCTTAATTTATTTTGTCTCTCATATTTATCTATTTTTTTAATAAAATAATCTTTGCAGTAATTGCGCATGTTAAATATTTCATTAAATAATAATTTAACTAACACACATGATTCATAAGGGTGTTTTAGAGAAAAAAACACCTATCTATTATAAATAACAAATTTAACTAATTTTTTTAATCTTCCCAAATTAATCAATTGGGTTTTATATTATGTAACAGAGGTAGTATATAGAACACAGAATAATCATTTTTAGATATAAAAGATATATAATTAAAGTGAGGAGAGAATTTCAACAGTGTTAACAATATCATTGTCAAACGTGTCGAAATAGTTTTTCCTAACCTTTACTTCACAAAAGTTGCCACCCCATTGTATAAGATGACATCTTATTAGTACTAGTATTTTATAGGAAGAAAGACATCAAAATACTTTCAAAAATGCTAAAGAATAAATTAGAGTGAGTGAATTTCAAAATCTCAAATCAGACTCTTTGTACTATTTTAAAATTTTAAAATATTATGAAATGATAACACTATCCTTATTCCCGATGACCGCTTTCATATAGTTATTGACTACTTTAATTTAACTATTGATTACTTTTATTTTCAAAGTTTCGGTGACTACTTTTATATAGCTATTAACTGCATAAGAGTAGTAAATAACTAAACAAAAAATAATAACTAGATTTCCAACAACATTTAATGCATTTTTTGAATTTTTGAAACGAAACTAGAGTAGTCAATCACAATACTAGAACAGTCAGTAGCTAAACAAAAGTAATCATCGGAGTTCTAAAAACAAATATAGTCATTAGCTAAAAAAAAGAAAGTCAAAGCATAAAAAAGAGCAGTTATCGAAGCTCTAGCGGCTAGCCACCCACAAGGTCGCGGGTGTCGGTCACGGGCGTCGGAACTCCGGTAGCCTAAAATTGGCTAAGAGTGCTACGGTGGCAATATTTAAAAAAAGAATAGTGAAGGACATTTGTGTAATTTTGTAAGATTTAAAAATTTTAAAATGATACAAGATGTCTGAATTAGGATTTGGAAATTTGCCCGCACTTATTTGTTCTTTAACAAAGTCTAGGGTATTTTATTTTTTTTAATTTTATAAAGCATCACTGTTTTTTTAATCTCAATTTATCCGAAAAAGGATCTGACTAAATTATTTATTACCCAGAATCATCCGTAGATTTTCCTATTGGTTTTCTTAAAATATCAAAGCATAATCTGATTGTACGATGAATCTGCTGCAGCAATATTCAACCAACATGGACGGTGGTGTTACCGAGTGCAAAAGATTTTCATGAATGGGAGGAGTACGGTGAGAAGACGATCGTCAGTAGGACACACGCAAGGTAATTTCATAAACTGTACAGATTAAAGGATTATATTGACTTACATAAATGCAATTTTTTCTGGGATAATAAATCTATCTACCTTAATTTATTGCTCCCGACCAGTACATTGGATGTTAATGTGAAATTTATAGACATTTAAACAATCTCATGGATTCATATATTATTTGGGATTGTTGTATTGGCAGAAAATACTGGTGGTGCATATACAGGGATGATCAAGGTTGTAGGGCGACAAAGCATGCTCGGCAAATACAAGAAAGCCCAAGGTTGTACAAGATTCGCTACTCTGGCTTCCACACATGCTGCTTTCAAAGCTTGACAGCTGGGCTGTAGTGAGGATCGACCAAAATGGATCCTTCAAGCATATGAATGTTGTTAAGTTCCTTGAAGTAGTCAATTACTATGCTTTTCGTATTAAGTTTGTAATAACAGAGAGCGTGTAAGACTGAGGGATCGGCCACGAATCCAGTTATGCTGCATATATCCTTTATGTTCTCCATATGTACTCATTTTTAATACCTGATGGCTAGAATGTAGCCCATTATATATAGATGTGCAGTTTTGAACTTTCTATTATCCTCTAAATATTCACAAGAAGGGAGGTAATTTTCTTTATTCAAAAAAGAAATATGACGAGAATTAATTTAGTTTGCAATCTCTCATTCACGTACGCCAAATGTTAAACAACAAAGACCCCAAACAACTGAAACTTCAATCTGAACAATGAAAATGTGTGAATGGGTCAAAGTAAAAGACCAAACAAAACTTTTTTTTGAAAAAATAGGCAGTCTACTTTACTACTTGAAAGTGAACGATAATAAGGTGGAAATTATTTTAGCATTTATTTGGATGACCGTCTGCAAAACATACTTTGAAATATTTTTCTATGAATAAATATAACAGCTATGTATCTGGCTTTGACATATCAAAAAAAACTAAATAAATTACTACCTCCGACCCTTA